ATTTTTGTTTTTTTTTTGCTATAAAAATTCCAATTAAGCATCATTTGTTTTCCTTTTCCTTTATTCTATTATCAATTGTTCACGTGAATTTTAACTTCTTTATGCAATGCACTTCTTTAGTAGTCTGATGGACAGGACTTCTCATTCAATCTGATCAATTCATGACCTTTTACGCTATTAATTTGCCACGTGGAAGTTGAGATTTTGTTCTACCTTTAAATATACATTGAAAACCTTTTTGGAGAGTAGAGACAGACAGAAATCAAACATCTCATGATGAATGATAGGAATTGAAGGTGCTTTTAACATTGCAAATCAATATTGGTCTTAGAGTAATCCAGTTTGATTGGTTCAGATCAACACTCCAGGTCCCCCCGATCTTGTGGGCGGGTGGCAGCTGAGTTAAAGTTTGAATATTATTTGGACAAAGGAAAATGTTTTGAGAGTAGAGACACACTGTAATCAAGTAATGGAATGTAATTGACAATAATTTTGAACCTTTCTAACAACAGAAGTGTAATTTTATGTGGTTTATGTGGATTTTTGAGTGTGGAAACTTTTTGAAGGTTAGACATCAATCATCTCATGGTGTTTAATAATCATGTTTCTTTTTACAATCTAAATTTTGTTTAGTGTCAGTCATAGGATTTTTTGCCTCTCCAGCCTAAACGTTTTGGTTTTCCAAAGTTAAATGACGGGTGTCAGTTGAGATAATGATTTAAGGTAAGGGTATGTTGTGAGACTATCATGTCATTGCTACTCAGTAGAGGAACAACATACGAGACTGGGCGGACACACTCTCATCCCCACGTCATCTTCTACCTCATACGAAGCACGGTGGAGTAGAGAGAGTAAGAGTGCCGCATGATCTGGTGGCAAAGAAAGAAGGGCTACTAGAATGGTTAGTAAATTTAACAAAACACATGTCAAATTGAAAGTTATAGTTATCGATCTTGAAACATGTTCGATATTATTCGCTGAGCGATTAGCGAAGCCCATTACTCCACTGACCAGAAAAGTTTCAATCTGTTTGTTTGTCTGTTTGTCCGTCTCTCCGCACGATAACTCGAGAAAGAATTGAGATAGCGACCTGGGATTTTCAGGGTCGTTTTGTATCATAAAAAGACAGATCGAGTTCGAAGATGAGC